ACCTGACAGCAAACTGCCTGACATGAAATGGCTCCACCTCCTTTCTGTTGTCTTCTAGGTTGTGGTGATTGATTATTTCCATGATGGACCTGCTCTCTAGCCCAGCTATCATGTCCATCCAATTCAGCACTAAAAATTGGAAATAAGTTTTCATGTACTTCTTCATCTAACTTACACATTTCTCTTCATGATGTTTACTTAAAGGTGCTAGTTTGATTGCTTTCATTAGAAACTGCTGTTCATAGTCTGTATCTTTCCTCTCTGTTTAGATTCACGACATCAGCTTCTTAAAACATTTTTTTGATTTCTGTGTCATATTTTCCATTGTCTGTTGTAACGCTTCATTGATAATTAAATTTCTGCACTTGCTTGATGTTGATGGTGCCACTTTCAGGTGCTCATATATTTATTTATTCACAATTTTGATGAACAATCCCTGACTTGTACAATCAAATCTAACATCACCAAAATTGTTAATGTTTTTAATATTTTTTAAAAAACTGTTAACATTTATAAAATTGTCAAAAAATTGTAAATGTTTTTAAAGTTATCTAAAAATTGTAAACATTTTAAAAATTATCTAAAAACTGTAAATATTTATAAAATTACCTAAAAATTGTAAATATTTAAAAGATTACCTAAAAACTAGATATTTTAAAAATATATCTAAAAGTATGTAGAAATTGTAAATATTTAAAAGATTGTCATTGTAATTGTAATTACAATTGTAATTGTAAACATTTTAAAAATTACCTAAAACTAGATATTTTAAAAACATTTAAAATTATGTAAAAATTGTAAATATTTTAAAAATTATTCAAAAATTGTAAACATTTTAAAAATTTCCTAAAAACTTGATGTTTAAAAATATATCTAAAATTATGTAAAAATTGTAAATATTTAAAAATTGTCTAAAAATTATAAACATTTTAAAAATTACCTCAAAACTAAATATTTTAAAAATATATCTAAAATTATGTAAAAATTGTAAATATTTAAAAATTGTCTAAAATTATAAACATTTTAAAATTACCTAAAACTAGATATTTTAAAAATATATCTAAAATTATGTAAAATTGTAAAATATTTAAAATTGTCTAAAAATTGTAAACATTTTAAAAATTACCTAAAAACTAAATATTTTAAAATATATCTAAAAATTATGTAAAAATTGTGAATATTTAAAAATTGTCTAAAATTGTAAACATTTTAAAAATTACCTAAAACTAGATATTTTAAAAATATATCTAAAATTATGTAAAAATTGTAAATATTTTAAAAAACATCTAAAAATTGTAAATATATATAGAGTTATCTATAAAATTCAGGTAAAACTCTTTCTTTTATATGCATCAGATATAAAAAAAATGTATCAGATATAAACTCTTTGCAAAATCATCTCCAAAAATAAATCAAAGGTTTTTTTTTCTCTTCTCCTACCAGAGCTTGGTGCATATAGTTTTGGCTCTCATGGAGGACTTCAGATTCTTTGTGCAATGCTGAAGCAAGACATTAATGATCCATTTCTATTACAAAAATCTTGTAATGCTTTATGGGGTCTGTGTACACAAGGTAAGGCTTTATATTAATTTTTAATTTACTTAATAACATTTTTCATCAAACATGAAGCATGTTTATGAAGGTATAAGACATGTTTTAAATGCACATACAGGATGCAATGGGTAAATTGTCGCCATTTTATATTTTTAATTTTGTGCATGCTCATTGTTTGTTTTTAATTTTATCAACTGCACAGTAAAGTATGGGTCATTTGGGTACCATCTTTGAGAAAAAGAGCACTATGATGCAATTCACTCTGCTAGAAATTTGGAAACAGCATGCTCTACTCCTTGGCATTTGTGCCAGAAGCTCCAATACAAACATTTCAGAATGTTTAGGTATCAATCTAAGAACAGTGCAGAGGATTCGAAAAGAGTTTGATGATATATATATATATATATATATATATATATATATATATATATATATATATCCAGTCAACATCATGGTGTTTGGAATGATCACAAGTGATGGCAACGTTATTCTTCCATTCATCTTTCCACAGGGCCTCAACATGGAGACTTACATCAAGTGCCTTCTGGAGGTAGTACTGCTCTGGGTCAAGAGGGTGGCTGCTGGAAAACTATGTCTTGCAACAGGACTTTGCACCATGCCACATAAGCAGGAGAACCCAGTCATACCTGTCAGATAATTTCTATGGCCACATCACTCCTTACATCTGGCCACCTAATTCCCCAGAATGGAACCCCCTTGATTATTAAGTGTGGGGTGCAGTTTAGCAAGAGATCAATAAAATTCCTTGTAATACCAATGATGAACTGAAGAGAAGGATTATGGCAGCATTTACCAACTTAAACAAGGAGACTGTCCAGAGGAGTTGCAGGAGATTCCAAAGTTGTCTTGAGGCCGTGATTGAAGCCAATGGTGATTTTATTGAATAAATTTACTCTTTAGGATTTCAAGATATTTTTGTGCAATTTTGGTAAATATATCTGTTTAAATGATATGCCAGTGTTATTTTCATTTTTGCATAATTTGATGATAATTTATCCATCTCATGCTGTATAATAAATATATAAGAAAATGTGTTACATCCACATTTTTTTTAATTGGTTTCATCACAAGGAAGGCATTAAAGCCACTAAGACACAAGGGGTTAATAGGTGTAGAAGAATTAGGAAAAGAAACATTACTAATGAGCAGGAAGAGAAAAGAACAATCAGGAGGACAGTAGATAGCAATTGACATTATATTTAACATTTTGGCGATTAAATTTGGCTGGAATGCATGGAGCTGAAAAGGAGTTTCACAAGCGAGAAGTATGAGAAAAGAAACTGTTAGCATAGAATTTATGGCAACATCTAGCTAGCTGAACTGTAAATTGTTGATATCTCAATGCCAATCTAGTACTGTGCTTAAATTCAAAAAGTCTAGGTACCATTTCCAAACAATTACCATGAAAGTATTTATAGAAAAGGCACAGAGAAGCAACCTTACAGTGGTTGCAAAGTGACTGAAGCTGAGCCACCAGATCAGGAACAATAATATTGCTGATTGTTCTTTGGATTTTATCACACAAATACACACACACATATATATATATATATATATATAAATATATATGTGATGTCACACATTATGAAATGGACAACGTCCGACAATTATTTTAAGATATTTTTTATGTTTATACATTCTTTTTATAGATACAAATATTTAAGTAAATGCTCTGTTTATAATAAACAGTATTAAACAACATTTACCGGCCTGATTGTCCGAGAAATTTTCATAGAAAATATGCGTCCTCCGATTTGGATACGCATCAAGCAGATATGAATCTACGAGAGGAAATCATGGAGAATTGTAGTTTAAAAACATAAACGCATCCAAATTAATAATAGATCATTATATATATATATATATATATATATATATATATATATATATATATATATATAACACTTTAGCATGGATTATCTGCTTTAAGAACCGTCTGCTTTATTTCTGTGCTCAAAAAAGAATCAGATGAAAGATAAACTCATCAAAATTAATAATGCTTGGGTATTTTAAATCTTTATAAATATTTCAATAGTTAAACATTTTTTAGATATAGTTAAAAGAATTTTTATTTCTTATTTTATTTTTTTTATTTTTTTAAATAACATCTAAGATATTATTACAGTTAGATTTACGTTAGGAATATTCGTTCCATATCACGTGACGTCTGCATCTCGCGACGGACGCTACTTGTAAACAAACAGTTATTTCTGAAGAAAGATTGAGGCCAATCTGAAATATCAAATATATATACAAATAAATAAATACTTTCATAAAAGTACATTATTATTTTTTTAATTTGCAACTTTCTCTCTCTCTCTCTCTCTCTCTCTCTCTCTATATATATATATATATATATATATATATATATATATATATATATATATATATTATCTGCTTTATCTGCTTTTAAGAACAGAGTTTGCCTTATTTATTTGCTTTATTTAAGATTTCTTTTTTAATTTCTTCCTATTTAATTTTGGGTTGACCTCATGTCATAATTTCAAGAATTGGATCTTATTTATTGCTTATAGTATATTTTGAGCACAAACCTTGAGATTTGGTTATATGGTGTAATATAGCGACAACTCTATGTAGAAGCTATGAATCTTTATTTGACTAATTCAGCTTTAGTGCTTAAAAAGTTTATTTTAATATAGTGGATAGTTACAAATAATAAAGTAGATGGGATGTGTTTATTTTATTACCACGTTCTTTCTTTTTTTTTATGTGCTGTGTCCTTTCAGGTCTTAGGCGATCATGTCCCTCCTCTTCTACCTATCACTTGTAGCTCTCAGTAAGTTTCATCCATCTGCCACCTCCCCCAGACCACGTTCTGTCATCCACTTGCTTAAGCCCACCAGGTATTTCATGTATTGCTTTCCCTTGTCTCTCTTTCCTTCTATTCGACCTGTGAGTATAAGATTCTCCAGGCTTTCCTTTGTCCCAGAAACTTCAGCTGCCTCTTCCTGATGTTAAGTATAAGCCTCCTCCTTGTTTGCATCCTCTTTAAGACATCGTTGTTCGCATGTTCGGCCCATGATATCCTTAGCATCCTTCTGTAGAACCATATCTCTGTTGCCTTGGGTCTCTTCCTCATCTTTGAGGAGACTGTTTTATATTCACTGTTGTAAAGGAGCACAGATGTTATGTAACAACTTAGTATTCTTTTCTTTGTTACCAAAGAGATCCTCGTTTTTTGCGGTACTTTGCTCAGTGTTTGGAATGTGCCCTTCACAATCCAAAAATGTTTATAAATCTGTTTCCACCTGTGAGATTATATCTTTTTTTTTTTTTTATTGTTTTTTGATTTCACATTTGAAGTGCTAAAATTTGAACTGTTTTTCTGCCTTTTTCATATTTTTTATTTTTATTTTCTAGAATGCAATGCCCGGATTGCTGCATATGAAGGAATTCCTGCCGATATGTGTTCTTGCTTAAAGAAGTACTCTCAAAAGCTTGAAGTTGCAAAAGAACTGATTATAGTTCTTTTCTCTCTCTCAACAGTTCGTACGTCAATCATTTCATATTACTGGCCAATATTCAAAATGCTATACAAAAGTTTGAGGAATTTAAACAGGGTGAATGAAATGAATATAATATAGACAAATACTGTTAGCCTTTGTAACCAGTACTTTTTAGGGAATTACATTGGCAGTGGAAACTATGTATTAGAATCAAATGGAAAACTTAAACCTTCATGCCTACAAAAAATGGAGTGCAAAAAGGATTGATTTTCTATTGAGACAATCCTTGGAAATGTTTACCGAATTAAAAATCGCTGATTAGAATTGAAATAAACCTAAACATATGTTGAATTTATAGATTTTTTTGTTCTTGAGAATTTACAACACAATTAAACATTATTTAAATATGTATTTATTAGATTGTTTATTTACAAGAATAATTTTATATTTACAACATTCTAAAAACTAATACAATCAAAATTAATGCAATGCAATAATCATTTACCAGTTTTTAAAGAAATAAATATGAAAGCAATATTTTATTTATAAATTTATAAACGTACCAACATATGTACTATTTACATTATTTGGACTATTGCCCTAATCTTTGTCGCCATATTTATCACAACGTTTCGGCTGTTGTACGCTCCAGCCTTCTTCAGGTGGTTGGAATATTTAACTGAACCCTTTATTTCACTCACTGGAGCAGACTGTTCTAGTTCCATGTGCGATGTCTAATGGATGTCAGTTATCAGTTATTGCCTGTTAATTCCCCTCTCCAAGGCGATAACTGATAACTGACATTCATTAAACATGGCACATGGAACTAGAACAGTATACACCAGTGAGGGTTCAGTTCGACATTTCAACCACCTGAAGAAGGCTGGAGTGTACAATGGCCAAAACGTTGTGATAAATATGGCAACAAAGATGAGGACAATAGTCCGAATAATAGAAATAGTGTACATAATACCTCATTTAAGAAATATAGACAGGTAGCAAAATATGTGAATCAGTTATGAGGAAATCCTTATTATTTACCATTTTATAAAGGTTGAATCTTTTGGCAATTAGCTGATGTTTTGCCAACCATTCCAATAAACAATCTCATAATCTCATTTATGCACAGATCTGGCCTGTAGTTGTCTAAAGGCTTTAGTATAGATCTGGCCAATATTTGTACACAGATCTGGCATATATTTGTCCACAGACTCTAGTATAGATCTGGCCAATATTTGTGCACAGATCTGGCCTGTATTTGTTTAAAGACTTTAGTATAGATCTGATCAATATCTGTGCAGAGATCTGACCTGTAGTTGTGTACAGACTTTAGTATAGATTTGGCCATTATTTGTGCACATGCTTGAGTGTAGATCTGGACAATATTTGTCTACAGTCTTGAATGTAGATCTGGCAACTGTTTGTTTACAGACTGAAGTATATATCTGGTCAATGTTTGCGCAAAGACTTGAGTGGATGTTTAGCCAATGATTTTCTACATTCTTGAGTGTATAATATTCAGTGTTTGTTGACAGACTTCAGTATAAAGCCGAACAATATTTGCTAACTTACTGGAGTAAAATGAAAAGAAAAAAATGATTTTGATGATAAATAAATCAACAATGATTGATATATCATGTAATCCACCAGCCCAACCTAACTCAACCTATCCTTTCTTCTTCATTGTCTCAGGACTCAACTGGATTGTTTTCGGAAATCTTGCTGATCAGGAGACATGCCAAGATTATTTTTGTTCAGATCTCTTTAATATAGGAAGTACATCTTCATATAATGTCTGAACATTTAATATGGGGGGTACATGTTCATATTATGTGTGAATATTTAATATGGGCAAAATACATCTTTATATAATGTGTGAATATTTAATATGGGCAAAATACATCTTTATATAATGTGTGAACATTTAATATGGGGGGTACATGTTCATATAATGTGTGAATATTTATTATAGGCAAATACATCTTTATATAATGTGTGAACATTTAATATGGGGGTTACATGTTCATATAATGTGTGAATATTTAATATGGGCAAAAATACATCTTTATATAATGTGTGAACATTTAATATGGGGGTACATGTTCATATAATGTGTGAATATTTAATATGGGCAAAATACATCTTTATATAATGTGTGAACAGTTAATATGAGATGTACATCTTCATATAATGTGTGAATATTTAATATGTGGTGGGGACATACAATGTGTTGGCCAACATAATTGTAAGATTATTCAGGTTTTTTCATTTTATTTTTTATGACTATTTACTTGCATAGATTTGTCTCCCTTTATATTTTTTCTTGTTCTCTTTTCAGCAAATGTGGTGCAATTCTACTGCAAGCACAAAGTCATTCATCTGATTATCAACTTTCTGAGAAAAAACATCAGTGAATCAGAAATAATTACTCTTTGCTGCAATACCCTGAAAAGCTTTTTGGTTCATGCCACGTTGTATGGTTAGTTTTTTACAATGGCTACTCCCTTTTTGACATTTCGACTACAGTCACTTTCTCACAGACGGATGTGGCTTCCCTCTGTCTTTTCTACAAATATTTTCATGGCAACTGCTCTGATGAGCTATTTTCATTGGTACCCCAACTGCATGAATTTAAGCGTGAAACTAGGTTGGCATCTTGGTCCCACCCTTTCACAGTCGAAAGTTAAATGTAACCGCCTCTTCTACTCCAACAGCTTCTTCTCTTGCACTTCCTGACAGTGGAACTCCATTCCCCTTACTTGCTTCCCTGATAGCTATAATCTTCAAATATTCAAATGTAATGTCAATCGACATCTTCTGATGCCTTGATCTTGATCCCTATCCTTCTCTTTATCCTTTCCTCAAACACCCCCCTCTTTACTTTTGCTCTCACTCTCTGTAACCCCTTACATACTACTGGCACTCCCACCTTGCTTGGGTTAAATTGCTTAAAAAAACACAATATAAGAAATTTGTGTAGATTATTATTATCATTATTATTTTGAATTCTTTCTTATAAGATGGAATCTTATCAGTTCATCATTTTTTACAACACGGTGGACCTTATGAAGTTGGGATATACAAGGTGGCATTCTAGAATTTTTGGGACTTTTTCAGCAGAGACATTTATTAATTTCAAAGAAGTTCAAAACTCATCCTCTGACTTCAGTGCACTTGTTGTAGCATTCCAGCCACTACAGCAGGGTCCCCAGGGAACTCATCTAAAGTGAAAGTATCCAGGAACCTTGATACAGCTTCCTTCATCTTCTCAGTGTCTTCAAAACCCCTGAAGTTCTTTAGCTTGTGGAAAAACCAACAATCACAGGAAACATGGTCTGAACTCTAAGGAGGGTGAGAGACAGTTTTGATGCTCATCTCTGTCAATTAGTTGGTTGCTAGGATGGAATTGTGGACAGGTGCAGTGTCCTGGGGTAGGTGCCACTCATCCGTGTGGAAGAGTTTTGGCCTTTTTTCTCCTCCTGAACTACCTCAAAACCTTCATAAAGTATTCTTTGTCGTTGACTGTCTGAATAGGGAGCCCAGTCAATGTAGATGATATCCATGCTGTCAAAAAAGGGGATCCTGATTGATTTTCTTTCCCTGGCCTTCTTGGGTCAGATGGAATCAGGATGCTTCCATTGGGCCCTCTGTCTGTCAGTTTCTGGATCACACCGGTAGATTCAGCTTTTGACACAGCTCACCAGAGACTCTTGGAGCTAATGAGCTCTATTATCTCCCTACCATCACCCACACATTTTCTTCTCTTCGTCACTGAGAACCCTGGGAACAAACTTTGCACTAATATTGTGCATGTTCAGATCTTTATAAATAATTTGAGTACAGTTACCACATCAACTCCAAGATGTATGCTTATTGTCTTTATAGACATATAATGGTCTTCATCCAGAAAAGTTTGAACATCACTCTCTCCCCAACATCTTTAATTGTCTCTCGCTTCCTCTCTATCATACTTGAACCTCTTGTGCCAGCAAAAACCAGATGCTTCAATCATACAAGCTAATCTGTAAGCACTCTGAAGCATTTCACAAGTTTCTGTAGCATTTTTGTTTAGTTTAACACAAAACTTTATGACATCGTGAGCTTCCAAATTGTTTTCATTTCTCCACTGCATTCTGCAAACTAGTCAGATGTGACAAGCAGTTTTTAGTAGGGAGTGTTCAAAGAGTTGCTATAGTCGTGTCCTTCAATCTGAAATAAAAAAGTTGGCAGATCAGCTTATTAGATGTTTAGTAATATATTAAAATTACAATGGGCTCGTGGCCGAGAGGTTAGAATATTTGTATTCTGACGAGAACCTGGGTTTGAATCTTACCATGGTCAATTTGTCAGGAAGGAGACTTCCTGATGTTATCGGACTGGAGGGGTCGATCCTAGTGTGCAGAAAGTGCCTGAAAAACAATACCATAGGTTGACCAAAACCTTGTGAGTGAAATTGGGTAGATGGAACCCTTGGGTGCCATCGATAGCTGTGCTAGCATGAAATCACAAGTCATCGTGGCTGAGGGCTTGAGCATGCTGGCCTTGTTCAAATTGTTGATCACGCTAGATAACACGTCCTTTCCCAGAAACTGTAACTGAGGTCTGCTCAGCATAGTTGCAGTATAAACCACAGGTGGGCTCTGTGGGTGTTGAACAAACACAAATGTGTTTAAGCGGACGTCTGCAATAGGGATTGGCTAGCCACCCTAACAGACAGGTTTTCTCGAATACGAGTGGCCAGTTGTACTAAAATTACAATAGCCTAGGATAGTTATATCTACCTCTCCTAAAAAATTCTCAAAACTTCTGGATGCACCTTACACACACACGCACACACACACACACACACACAGAGACACACACACACACATCTATCTATCTATCTATCTATCTATCTATCTATATATATATATATATATATATATATATATATATATATATATATTGTCATATGCCCTACTCGATGAATAATTTATAACGCAATCATACGCCGACCACGAGATATATACATTATCACGTCTATGGAGAGATACGGGCTATCTCTCCCAGACCATGACAAATGGACAATTAGTAAACAAAAATATTTTAAAGAACACTGTTCGAATGAGATAATCAAACAGTAGTCTTTTCCCAGGTTCGCTTCGGTTTCAACACATATACCGATCCACAATTCAGGGATGAACGATAAGGCGTAATAAGTTTTGGTATAAGAATTTTTATATATACATATACACAAGATATTATAATAAAAGAAAAATATAAGCATGAGTAAAGCATCCGACGACCAGAACCTCAAGACTTATGTTGGGATACCAAAAGATGCCCAAATACAAGTGGATTCGACTGAACCCGAATGGATAAAAAAATAAAAATAAAAAAGAAGTATGAATAACTACGAATGCAGAAATCAACGCATAACCAAAAAAAAAAAAAAAAAAGTTAACATGTGGAAAGGTTGACATGTGGAAAGGTGTTTGTGAGAACATAAAATTTATGGATGCATGTGCATCTTTCTAACATGGGTCCAAAATATATAGTTACTTATCTTTATATTCAGTTCTCTCTCTTACTCATTGTCCTTTCTTTTCTCTCTCACGTTTCCTCTTTTCTTTCTTTCTTTTTCTTTACACACATTCAATTTCAAACACGACCCGGCTGCAACAGAGATATATACTTTTTTCTTCTCTCTTGATTTCTCTTTTCTTTCTTCAAACACAGCCTGTATTCTCAGCGTGCAAATTTCCTTGCGTCTTCTGTGATACATAACTCGATTTATCTTCTTCAATCTGAAGTTGACAAACAGAAATATACATCTTTATATTTCTTATCTGGAGTTGCTTATGATGAATCAGACAAGTTCCATCATTACCAAAATGAGTCTCATCTTTCCGTTCATAAGTTATCAGCGCTTCGATTTCAAGTCTTGCTCCTTCAAAGACAAGACAGCAACTGACTTCCAAGTAATTTTCTAATTCCCACGTGTCCTGCATTTTGGTGCGAATTCCAGTTCCTGCTGCTTCATGACCTTACGTCAGTCCCCTGTCTAGATTCTGTCTAGACGTCTGTTGCTACGGGTAACTGGGTCAGTCAACCTCTGCTTCCCCAAAATGACTCGAGACTCCCACGTGACCTCTTCTGTTGTCAAGCGGAGATTAACCTTAATATATGCGTTTATGCGTGTTTGGGCTATCTGCATTCGTAACATCCCCCAACGTAAACTAAAAAAAAAGAACCCCCCTTTTTTTTTTCCAACAATATATCCCAACATCATCTGAACAAACAATGGGTCATCTTCCCTTTTTTTCTGATTACAATATCAATATATACACACTCTTTATATTATTATACATTTTTTTTTCAAATATACCCAAGAAAAAAATTTACAGCTTTGACAAAGTATACACACATTTTTTTCTTCCAGTTGTAATAACATACACACTCAATATTATTAAAATATATGCATTTTTTCTTTCAGTTTTCAGCTTCATCAAAACATACATATTTTGTATTTTCTCAGTTCCACTAAGATATACCTTCCTTTATTTAATCCTTTCCAAATTATGGTTAACATCCGCACTCGTTTTCAATATCTCAACAAGGTATCCGCTACTTTATTTGGTGTTCCAGCAATATGCTTTATTTGAAGATTGAACTCCTGCAATATAAGACTCCAACTTTGTAACCTTCGGTTTTTGTCTCTCATGCGATCTATAAACGTTAATGGATTATGATCAGTATATACAACTGTAGGAGAAAGCAAATTGGTCATATAAACCTCAAAATGGAGAACAGCTAACACTAACGCCAAGGCTTCTTTTTCTATTGTTGAATATGATTTCTGGAACTTATTCAATTTCTTTGAATAGAAGCTTACTGGATGTAACTCTTTATCTTCATCTTCTTGCATTAATACAGCTCCGATTCCCACATCGCTGGCATCTACATGCATCTGAAACGGCTTGTTGAAACACAGGATTTGATTTTAACTTACTTTTAATGGTTTCCAGTGCAACCTCACATTCTGTAGTCCACACAAACTTATGCCCCTTTCCTAACAAGTTTGTTAGCGGTGTAGCGATTTCAGCCAAATTCCTACAATACTGCCTATAGTAATTAGCCATCCCTAAGAACCTTCTGAGACTTCTGCTATTAATGGGACGAGGAAAGTTTGCGATGACTGCAGTCTTTGCCTCTATTGGTTTAATCCTTCCTTGCAAGCCCTATCACATGTCCTAGATATTTCACTTTGGTATTACAAAATTCACTCTTGCCAAGATTTACTGTCAACTTTGACTCTTTTAATCTTTCAAAGACCTTCTGCATCGTATCCAGATACTCACTCTCCGTGTCACTGTAAATTACGACATCATCGATATATGCATCAACTCCTGGAATATCGCACACGCATCTATTCATTAGACGTACGAATGTAGCTTGCGAGTTCCTCATACCAAAGGGCATAACTCGATATTGATAAGC